ATTTAATTTTTTCCCTTTTTTTCACGAAATATCTAAATTTAGGATCAAATTTGTTTCACGGGTATTTCCGAAACTAATAGTCGGAATGAAGTCTGGTTTTCATCATTGAATTTCTCGTACAGAGTTGTACTCACGTATGTAATTTGAGAGAAAAGCTACGATATTTATTTTTTTCAATTTTTTCACGAAATATCTGAGTTTAGGATCAATATTGTTTCACGGGTATTTCCGAAACTAATAGTCAGAATGAAGTCTAGTTTTAATAATTGATATTCTCGTATAGAAATGTACTCACATATGTCATTTCAGAGAAAAGCTACGAAAATTATTTTTTAAATTTTTTTTAACGAAATATCTGAATTTTTGATAAATGTTGTTTCACGGGTATTTCCGAAACTAATAGTCGGAACGAAGTCTGGTTTTCATCATTGAATTTCTCGTACAACGTTGTACTCACTTATGTAATTACAGAGAAAAGCTACGAAATTTATTTTTTTCCATTTTTTCACGAATTATCTGATTTTAGGATCAATTTTGTTACACGGTTATTTGCGAAACTAATAGTCGGAAATAAGTCTGGATTTCATTATTGAATTTCTCCTACAGAGTTGTACTCACATATGTATTTTCAGAGAAAAACTACAAAATTTAATTTTTTCCATTTTTTTCACGAATTATCAAAATTTAGGATCGATTTAGTTTCACGGGTATTTCCAAAGCTAATAGTCGGAATGAAGTGTGGTTTTCAATATTGAATTTCCCGTACAGTGTTGTACTCACATATGTAATTTCAGAGAAAAGCTACGATATTTAATTTTTTCAATTTTTTCACGAAATATCTGAGTTTAGGATCAATATTGTTTCACTGGTATTTCCGAAACTAATACTCAGAATGAAGTCTAGTTTTCATAATTGAATTTCTCGTACAGAAATGTACTTACATATATAATTTCAAAGAAAAGCTACAAAAATAATTTTTTATATTTTTTTAACGAAATATCTGAATTTTGGATAAATGTTGTTTCACGGGTATTTCCGAAACTAATTGTCGGAACGAAGTCTGGATTTCATCATTGAATTTCTCGTACAAAGTTGTACTCACATATGTATTTTCAGAGAAAAGCTACGATATTTAATTTTCTCCATTTTTTTCACGAAATATCTGATTTTAGGATCAATTTTGTTTCACGGGTATTTCCAATACTAATAGTCTAAATGAAGTCTGGTTTTCATCATTGAATTTCGCGTATAGAGTTATTCTCACATATGTAATTTCAGCGAAAAGCTACGAAATTTTTTTTCCTTTTTTTTTTTCACGAATTATCTGAATGTAGGATCAAATTTGTTTTACAGGTATTTCCAAACTAATTGTCGGAATAAAGTCTGGTTTTCATCATTGAAATTCTCGTACAGAGTTGCACTCACTTATATAATTTCAGAGAAACACTACGAAATTTAATTTTTTCCATTTTTTTAACGAATTATCTGATTTTAGGATCAGTTTTGTTTCACGGGTATTTCCAAAACTCATAGTCGGAATAAAGTCTGGTTTTCATCATTGAATTTCTCGTAGAGATTTGTTCTCACATATGTAATTTCCGAGAAAAGCTACGAAATTTAATTTTTTCCCTTTTTTTCACGAAATATCTAAATTTAGGATGAAATTTGTTTCACGGGTATTTCCGAAACTAATAATCGGAATGAAGTCTGGTTTTCATCATTGAATTTCTCGTACAGAGTTGTACTCACATATGTAATTTCAGAGAAAAGCTGCGAAATTTAATTTTTTCCATTTTTATCACAAAATATCTTAATTTAGGATCAATTTGTTTCACGTGTATTTCCGAAACTAATAGTCAGAATGAAGTCTGGTTTTCATTCTTGGATTTCTCGTACAGAGTTGTACGAAAATATGTAATTTCAGAGAGAAGCTATGAAATAAAATTTTTTAAAATTTTTTTTCACGAATTATCTGATTTTGGGATCAATTTTGATTCACGGGTATTTTTAAAACTAATAGTCAAAATGAAGTCTGGTTTTCATCATTGATTTTCTCGTACAGAGTTGTTTTCACATATGTAGATTTTGAAAAAAGCTACGAAATTTTTTTCCTCTTTTTCACGAATTATCTGAATTTAGGATCAATTTTTTTTCACGGGTATTTTCGAAACTAATTGTCGAAATGAACTCTGGTTTTCATCATTGAAATTCTCGTACAGAGTTGTTCTCACATATGTAATTTCAGAGAAAAACCACGAAATTCAATTTTTTCAATTTTTTGCACGAAATATCTGAATGTAGGATCAATTTTGTTTCACGTGCATTTCCGAAACTAGGAGTCAGAATGAAGTGTGGTTTTCATTATTGAATTTATCGTACAAAGTTGTACTCGCATATGTAATTTCAGAGAGAAGCTACATTATTTATTTTTTCCCATTTTTTTTCACGAAATATCTGATTTTAGGATCAATTTTGTTTTACGGGTATTTCCAAAACTAATAGTCGGAATGAAGTCTGGTTTTCATTATTCAATTTCCCGTTAAATGTTGCACTCACATATGTAATTTCAGACAAAAGCTACGATATTTAATTTTTTCAATTTTTTCACAAAATATCTGAGTTTAGGATCAATATTGTTTCACGGGTATTTCCGAAACTAATACTCAGAATGAAGTCTAGTTTTCATAATTGAATTTCTCGTACAGAAATGTACTTACATATGTAATTTAAGAGAAAAGGTACGAAATTTAATTTTTTTCATTTTTTTCACGAATTATCTGATTTTAAGATCAATTTTTTTCACGTGTATTTCCAAAACTAATAGTCAAAATGAAGTCTGGTTTTCATCATTGAATTTCTCGTACAGAGTTGTTCTCACATATGTAATTTCAGAGAAAAGCTACGAAATTTAATTTTTTCCATTTTTTTCACGAAATATCTGAATTTAGGATCAATTTTGTTTCACGTGTATTTCCAAACCTAATAGTCGAATTGAAGTGTGGTGGTCTCTACTGAATGTGTCTTTGAGAGTTGTACTTACATACGTAATTTCAGAGAGAAGCTACGAAATTTCCTTTTTTTTTTATTTTTTTTTTTCCACGAAATATCTGAATTTAGGATCAATTTTGTTTCTCTGTTATTTCCGAAACTAATATTCGCATTGACATCGAGTTTGCTTAATGCAATTTTTCGTCAAGTGTTCTATTTGCATGCGTGATTTCAGAAATAAGGGGGAAAATTTAGTGTTTTTAAAAATTTTGCACCTAATTAAACAAATTTCGCGCAAAATTCTTTCACGTTTATTCCCGAAAGTAAGATTTTGTCTAGTTTGCTTTATGCAATTTCTCGTCAAATCTTCTACCTACATACGTGATTTAAGAAAGAAGTGACGAAGTTGACTTTTTCTCAAAATTAACACCTAATTTAACAGAATTCGCGCAAACTTCTTTTACGTGTATTCTCGAACGTAATAGTCGGATTGAGGTCTAGTTTCT